GAGAGCTGTTTTGCCCGTCAGCACAATGTATCAGACAACAATAATCAGTGTTTTTCTGGAGCCAACGGCCACCTTCCCTCCCAGCTGGCAGCACAAAGACCTGGAGCCATCGATAACCAGCCTCTGGTCAATACCGACCCCATGAAGGCAAGTGCGTGTGCGTGCGTGCGTGTGTGTGAGAGATTGCGATTCAGTGTGAAAGTACAGAAAAAGACCCAATTTAAATACATTTAAATGGCCAGTATCAATATTGCCATGGTTACATGCAGCTCCCAAACTGTATTTTGAATGCAGTCCTCCAGGCCTCTGGGGGCTTGTTGTTAACACTGCCATTAGCAACTTGAGATGCGAGACTGGAGTGGGAGTGCAGAGACGATGTTTACGACCAGATGTTTTCACAAGCACCAGTACCAAGCTAATTTCAAACCAACAGAAAGTGAAATCGTCGACAGGCGATAGCTGGTGGGTTCCGAGATTAAATTTTGGCCATTGTGTTCTGCCTCTTTCGCTCTCCACACGGACTGTTTGCCTGCATTCAACCAAAGCGTGTTCGAACGTGATTGGTCAACACTACACGGACTACAAACAGAAACCAGAATGCTTCCAATAACAAAATGTGGTCCCGTTGCCTACAGATTCTACATGTGAATGCAGAATCTGTTAATGGAGACTTGTGTACTTTTAACTCTGGTCAGAGCCAAGCTATCTATTCACCCTGCTTCCTGTCTTTATGCTAAGCTAAGCTAGCCATGCCCTGGCTCCAGCTTTATTGCTCGGGATAGAGCGGGTCGTCCTTTCATCACACGGTTAGCAGATCAATCCCCGGCTCCTCTTTCCCACGAGCGAGACACTGAACCCTGAAGTTGCTCACCGGGCGCTTTACATCAGTCCAATCCTAATTCTTAGGATGGAGAGATCAAATTTCATAGATGTATTTATGTGACGATTAAAACAAAGTTTAAGTTTAAGTACACATGATTTGAGAAAACGTATCTGAATTTAGAGGAATGTGCATGTTTAAGAAACAAAGTGTTGATGTATAAAAGTGAAGGGACACATTTATGGAATACTTATAAAGAGCAGCTCAGAATGTGTCGGACGCTTTGTGAATAAAAACCGGTTAGAAATAATTTGACGAACAGATAAAAATGTATAATCAGAAATAGAACTTTTAGGCTAGAGTGGGTGTTATAAGCTGTACCTTCAGCTTACAATACACATTTTCATTCTGTTGAAAATAATCTTGTGTAGTGTTTGCAGCAGTTTGTGTTGTTTGTAGATGAAAACCTGATGGTTACATCAGCCAGCTTCTTCTTTGGTTTGACAGAAAAAAACATCTGAGATTCCTAATTAGTAGGCACTCCTCCTGATCTGGCAAAGGCTCTCAGGGACCAGATGGTGCTTCCTTTTTCTCTTGTCTTATCTCTACATCATGCTGTAGTGATTGCAGGCTGCCAGCCTGTGCATAGCATTAGGATACTGTCTGTCTATTATCTGTCATCCAAGTAGGCAGAATAGGGTCTTTTGTGCACGTATTGAGATGCTGATGTCCGTGCTGTTCCCCTGCAGGCCCCTACGTTAACCATGGAGGGGGGCAGGCTGAAGCGCTCCTTGCAGCTGGTGCCTGGCAGAGACTTTGAGACGGTGCCAGAGCCGGTGTGGAGGGCACTCTACCATTGGTACGGTGCCAACCTCAGCCTGCCACGACCGGTGAGTGAATGCAGTCTGTAATACACATCCTCCCAACAGCTGATGAACCTCACTATCACTGTGATGCAAGGGCAGCCGGGCAACAAGCACAAGTGGACAGGCAATCAGACATGGTTCAGCAGAGGCCCGCAAACAACTTTATTTTGAACTAAAGCTGAACGTGAGGGCAATATCACTAATCATTCGTCATTGTGTAGTAGGGAAACCAGAAGTCGGTTTGTAATTTGAGAAGAAGGAAGGCATTCTGTATTAATCCCCCCAGGGGCCGAAGACATTATGTTTTGGGGTTGTCTGTCCCTCCATCTACATGCGTCCACCCGTCCCATTCTCATGAAAGTGATGTCTCAGAAAAACCAGGAGACATTTTCTTCCCCTTTGGCACAAACTCCCCTCAGGAAGAGTAACTGATGGACAGACATGCAAAAGATGCAGTGTGCACAGAATAACCAACATAAAATGACAGTACCGACAATCCAAATGACAAAAAGTATACACAGTATACATATATGAAGAAAACGGATCTGGGGGAAGCAGCTTCACCAGACTGCTAGAGCCTGAGCCACACATCCTGCCGACCACCATGGAACTTAGAAAGAAGACACACAAACGCATAAGAAGATAAATGGACGCACATCATTCATACAGATAGGAGATGGAAGGAAGCACACAGAGGGAGTGAGAGAGGGAAACGAGAGGAGAGGCTGGATCACCTGGAGGACAAAGATCCATGAGGATGAGGCTCCAACAGCCAGGAGGGAGAGAGACAGTGTTCAGCCTGAGTTAAAAGGGAGGGAGAGAAATAGCTGTAGGCCTTTGGTTTTTTTAATCTGGCCTTTTGTATTGTTGTTGTTTATTATAATCGTGTAGTTTGTTAACATGCTTTGACAACATTGGTTTGTTTGCAGTTATGCCAATAAAGCTAAAAACTGTGCAATGAACTCAATTACCTGTAAGTTCATATGAGTCCAAGCTTTCAGCTCTTGGTTCATTTGAATAAAGTCTATTTGAAACATTTAATGGACCATAACTAAAAGGTGATAATGGATCATTTGTTTTATCTGGTCTTGAACAGGTGAAATCCACTAATGAAGCGGTCAAAGGTTTCCAGACCGATCTGGTTTTACCACTCTGGTTTCAATGCATGGAAAGTATAAAACTTTCCCTTCCTCCCCTGCAGGTTATCCTGGAGAGCAAGACAGGCCAAGCAGAGCTGGAGCTCTTCCCACGCTACCTCCTCTTCCTCCGCCAGCAGCCGGCCACGCGCTCCCCCCAGTCCAACATCTGGGTCAATATGGGTATGACCAGCCTGCGAATGTTCCCACCGTATTTACCCCCACCAAGAGGTAACGTAAGCCTGCAGCAAGACCAGAGCAAGCCGTCGACAAATGCTTCATTGAGCTACCCCGCATCCCCCCCCTTTTAATCCTCCTAAAGTGGACTGATCCAGCCCTGGCAGGTTTCTGGGGTGGGCAGTAGAATGAACCAATGGCCCATGAAGGGGACAGACTGCTGATCTAAAAGTTTCATAATTCAAACTATTTCAATCTTCACAGAGCTTGCCATTCAAGTATTATATGTTTTGACCACACTTGTTCTAGTGCTCTTCACTCATCTGCATTAGAAGTATTCTAAATCATGACAAACTTAACAAATCGTTTAAAGTATAATATTTGAAACAGTCTGGGACATGATCTTAATTTTAGGCATATATCTACTCTGCTGTGAGGATTTGGGCTTTGGAAAATCGCTTTGTTCTTTGAACACCTGAAAACGTATCAAATTTGAATGTGTCTGTCTAATCCGACTGTATTTCTACACTCAGAACTTTCTGATCAGTCAAACAAAATGACAACACAAAAACAGAAATTCAGGAAAATAAATCACCATAATTGATAAAAGTCCACGTCCAAGTGCTTCTGTAGTTCAACAACTCCAACAGAGTGAAGAGTCTTCTCTCTGGCTAACTTCATATTGTTGAACCAGGACCTCCAGCATTTGGATGAGGCAGCTCGTAAAGCTCGCTGTTCTGTTGTTGAGGTTTCCATGTCGATGACTGTTGATTGTACCACATCAAGACCTTTTTATATCAGTCCCTTTCGCTTCAGTTAATTGACCCTTTTCTAAGTCCCGCCCCTCAAGCGCAGACTGGCCAATCATAGCATCGGCCAGCTCCGGCCAGGTTCAGACAACTATACGTCTGTGCTTCACAGACTCTCATAGCAATTTCCTTCATTTTCATGTTGGTTGTGTGGATTTGGAGCTAGCCATGTGTTACCGTTAGGAGTGATACTCGTTTTGAGTGATACCTGGAGAGATTGGAGAGAGAAATACATTTCTACGTAAAAACCTGAGGAGCAAAAATGAGCTAAGTATGTTAGCACATCATTAATTAGTGGTAGCACTACGGTACGCTAGCTACTGAAGGTAATTTATCATTTTATTTTTTCCCCCAAAAATGAGACAATATTTATGCAGGGAGTAACAGTGTGGGCTTGGTGTAGCTCTGACAGCTTGAAGGGGTAGCAGTGGGGGGTGGGGCTTAGCAAAATGTTAAATCGCATCCAATGTTCTCACAATGAAAAGACTATATACAGACCAACTCACTCACACAATAATTGAAGCTGGATTTCTGTATTTATCCTTTTGTATGATGGCTAAATGGATATATAGACGAACTGGAAATGTCTCGCTGCAAAAAGAAAGCAGATGACAAAGCATAAAGTGGAGCTGTACTGATTTACTCCAGGGTAATCAGGCGTCAGCACTCAGCATGGGAGTGCTGGTCCGAATCAAGCCAACATATCGGGTTTCAGACCCTAGTGGAGCTTTGGCTACCATCATGACTCATAAGCAGCGGCTTGTCGTTGCTGGCCATTAAGACTCAGCCTTGTGGCTAAATATCTCAAATTGATCTACTTATCCATCATATTCCGCATAATGTCTTCCTGACAGCCCGAGTAGAGCACTCAAACAAGTGTAGAGGGGTAGAATTGAATAGCAAATCTGTGTAGATGGGAAATAATAACATTTAAAAGTCTGATTAAATCAGATAGTTTCATTAATCATTTTGAAGCCAGTTACGTAAAGTTTTTAAATGTGTATGTTTATATTGTAATAACCAGGAATGGTATTGATTGGTTTGTATGTGATTTAATCCAATCTGAGTCCACTTAATCCACTAAATTAATCTGTGCTGATTGACAAAAAAAGCCTCTTGCTGCTTCCTTACAACTAATCCTCAGTCACCAGAATGCTGTTGTTGTGAGCTTGTGTGTAGCCAATATGAGTTTTAAAACACACAAGGGCCAAAAAAGTAAAATGAACAAAACTCCAAATTTGTGCTGTGGCTTGGTGTTTGGGTCAGTTTGTGAATGTTCCTGTCCTGCCCGTTAGCAGGTAGCGTGCCGTCCCCCAACGCTCCCCTGAAGAGGGTCTTGGCCTACACAGGCTGCTTCAGCCGCATGGCCACCATCAAGGACATCCACCTCTACCTGTCCCAGAGGCTCCGCATCAAGGAGGAGGACATGAGACTCTGGCTCTACAACAGTGAGGTGGGTCACAAAGCTGTCACAAGACTTGACTTGACTTGAATATATTTGACTTTTCATGAAATGCCAGATAAAAAACCCGCATTAATATAATATAATCAAATTTAGATATATATAAGGAGTGGATTAGTACAAAAATGCTGTTGCTCTATGCATCCAAATTAAGACTATTAAAAGCCCTTGGATGATATTGGTTGCGTTCAGCTTGTGAGTCGCTTACACACTGCTCTGAGATGCTTTTGGTTATCCTGTAACGCCAGTACCGATGCTCTGGGAAATCTTCTTTACTTCCAGGTTTATTTAACAGTACCTCAGTTTCACTACTGCTGATTTCACTTCTCCTTTTTTTGGTTACATCTCTCCAATTCTTGGGCATGTGCCAGAGTATTTGCTGGATAATGTTGGCGGGAGGTTCACTATAAAAAAAACTTTAAATTAATTAACTTTTAACTTAATGAAATTTTTGCATTAAATTATGTATTTGAAATTCATTTTCCATCCATTTTCTAAATGTATTTGAACTGTTCAACACTAACAGCCTGTGATTCAAAAGAAACGTTTGTATCTAAACATTGGTGGATTACGGTGTTATTGGGCACATTGGACCACAACAACAACAACAACCACAACATGGTCCCAGGCAATTCATCTATTAAAACTAGATTGTGACACAGGGCCAGCACTTTAAGATTACATTTTATTTTACATCATACTGTAGGACCAAGATGATAATATACTTTTGTGGTGAAAATTCCCACAAAACAAAAAAACCCCAAAACAGATTTAAAAACTGTGATCCTGGGGCCTCTGGAGACCAGGGCCCTGGGACAATCGCCTGCTTTGCTTGGTTGATAATCCAGCAAAATCTTTAAATACTGTTTTAACATGTCCGACCACAATTTATACATTTTATAAGATAAGATAATCCTTTATTGGTCCCGCAGTGGGGAAAGTTACAGGATTTTTATGCAAAAAAAATACAATACCTGCCATAAAAGGTTAGAGATTTAAATCAATCTGCTTACGGCAACTTGACTCCCAAAATTGTCTGTATCACTCTCATTCACAGTTAAATATATCATCTTAAACGTGCAAACTCAAGGGGCTCCAAAAAACCAACATGCATATTGTGTGTGTTTTGTGCTAATGGAATTGAGAATGTATTTGGGATTATATCCCACCAAGGCACAATATCAGCTGGGGGGCCCTGAAGTGGGGCTTTTATTATAACTTAAATGTGAGGCCCTAACTTGAAAAGGGTCCCCATGTCAAATCTAGTTCCAAGACCTTCATTATTTCAGTTTTTCAGTATTTCAGGGGCCAGGTAGTGTCCTATCACTGACATTTATACACACGTCACGTGGATGGGAACAATACAGGTATTAGCAGGTTAATACAACCATATCTGATGGTACCTTAAACATGAACTGAGAAGAAAGAACAGAATCATTATTTCATGGCGCTGATAAATCAAAAGTTACTGCTTTTGTCTTGCAGAATTACCTCACCCTCCTGGACGATGAAGATCACACACTGGAAAGCCTGAAGATCTATGATGAGCAGCAGCTTGTCATTGAAGGTCTGAAAAAGCAGAATTAACTAAACTCTCTTCAGGCTCCTAATAGTGTTATATTCCAGGTTCGTCTAAATAAAGGCACATGACAGTGCGAGTGAACTCATTTATTGTCTTCCTCCACAGTCAGGAACAAAGATATGAGCTGGCCTGAGGAGATGTCCTTCATTGCCAACAGTAGTAAGATGGACAGACACAAAGGTAAGCTGGATGAGGGACACTCATCTTACTGTGCATTTGTAAACGGGCAGAATGGTAGTTTGAGTCGGCTCGCATTGGTGGATATTAACTGTGCTCCGTTACCAGCAGATATTACATTTGAAGGGAAATCTGTCAATCATCACACTTATACTCTTTGTAGCATATAGTGGGAGGGAAATGATTGTCAATAAATAGGATCCTACAACATAATATGATTGAAAAGGAATCTGTGGAAAGTAATGGCAATATAGTGTTTTTTGTTTGAGTGGTAGGGAGAGGAGAGAGAATACACAGCTGCTTGATACAGTCACACCTCTGTTTCTGACCTCAAACACAACACAGGGCTAATATGCTGCCCACTAACACCTTAAAGTACTGAATATGGATGTCCTCTTATCTTCCATGCTCGTTCAGAATTTATAAATCAACCCTGTATGTCCCCTTTCTTGCTTGATTTAAAGAGTTTTC